TAACAGTTTAACAAAACTCTTATCCAAACACCCCCGAAAAGATCTAGATGCTCACTTTTCTTTTTAAAAATTATAGTGTCTCTGTTAGTACTTTTTTTTTTCCTTATTATCTCAAAACAAAACCCATTATGTCAAAATAATTGTATAAAAATTAATTTTTATTTTAACTAAGTTACCCCAACATATTTTGGGTACAAGTGGAATAGAGATCTAAACATCAATGCCTTCCTTGTTGGATTTTATAAAATCTGAAAATTAAAATTAAAAATCTCATTCTGACTTTTTTACTTTATATAACTTGTATTTAAATTTTACTAAAACTCACCTAAAAAAAGTGCACAAAATTTTATTGATACCTAAACTTTTTTTCAAAAAAGTAATCATTCCTTTTATCTCTTAAAAATTAATAAAAAATTTATTTTAAAACTTTATTATTTTAATAAATTTTCATAATTAAAAAAAAAAAACTAAAACACCATATTTTAATAAAATAAATTAAACTATTTTTTTTTCTCATAACACTTTATTAAAACAACTAAATTTAAGAGTAATTTCATTCTTAATTTTTAAGAGATAAATCATTTAAAGAAGAAAAGTATTGATACCACAAAATTGAACATCACACAATACAATACATCAGCTTCATTGTTAAACACCACATTTGAAGTACTAATTTAAACACCTCCTACGTCAAGATGTGTTTCTCAAAAGGAACAAATGCAAAAGGATATTGCTTTTCTAAGTAGCCACTTGATTTTAGAATCACCGATCCATTTATTCTTTCAGTATTATATTCGGATCAATAATCTAAATCTGTGTTCAGCAATTCTAACCACATAAAAAGAAATAAAAATAACAATCTAAATCTGTTCAAATTTGGGGAAATAAGTATACTCTGAATACAGGACAAAGACAGGTGCTCCATCCAATTTTTAATTAGGGTTACGGGACAAGAAAGGATCAAAAGGTGAATGTCCCTTTCTTGGACTATTATCAAATTAGCAAGTGACAAGGTCCCAAAAAGCATCTTCTACAGCATTCAAGTTCTCACCAAAATAGAGCAACAGTTGAGTATCTATCTCCTTCCATCAAAATCTACATTTGTAGAAAAGGTATAGAAATATCAAGATGAAAGAAAATCTATAGAAATCTCTACAACCACATAGAAGTCTAGACAATTGAATCATGATTAAAAACATAAAACTAAAGTGAGAAATTTGGAAGTAATCAAAATAATCAAGATTTTAACAAACCCCCCATAAAAAAAGAAAAAAAAAAAGGAGTTTTTTAACAAACTGAAACTCAAGCTCTTAGTGAATTACTATATGAACTTTTAACAAACATTGTTCTTGAGTGACTCACTACGTTTATTTCATGAGTTTAAACAAACAAAGCAAATTTAAACTCAAAATTCTTCATTAAAGTTGGCACATGAGTTAAGCCGAGCATTGCATAGCTCGAGAGCAAATCCGTTTGCTTACAGTCCTACTTGAAGGCTGGCAGGTTCTTCTCTGCATGTATCAAATGATAAGCATACTAGACAAAGTGCAAGATAAATTAGAAACGATGTAGCCATGTCAAGGCAGAGTTACATCCTCAGAAGAAATCCCAACACCCTGTCTAGAACAAATGAAACTAAACTATGACAAATGCTAAAGAATGACCGTGCCAAAGAGAGAAACTCAAAAAATTAAACTTCCTGCAGATGCAGGACTAAATTAGTAAAGTAAGCTAATGCCAGGTAAAGAAATAATAATCACCTGCAGATCTGGCAAACGCCTTGAATGCTCTAAAATATTATTTACCAGGAAGGCAACCATGTGAATCATTTTGTTTCTAAATATTAGCAACTGAAGACTAAACCCAAGAGATAGGCCCTATTCACAATTCTTACTAAAGAGTTAGATCATCCTAACAGAGGAATTCCTAGTTCCTACTAAGATCAAGTCAACTTATAACTTCAATGTTTGGCATGGCACCCTCACACAGACTAGTGCCTGCTATCTACCAAAAACTTGACCATACACTTTAGCAAACATCACAATGGCAAAATAGACAACACCAGAAAGCAAACACCAAATAGGTAAGGGTTAGTAAACATGTAAAGAAACATCAAATAGCTGCACAAAAGGTAGGAACACGAAGGAACCAAACTGATTCAATCTTTCAATACTAATCAGGAATCCATACAATCAAACCAAATGTTTGACATCAAAGACTAGAATTCAATACCACAATCAACCAAACTGTACAATAGACGCAAATAAATCCAGGATGACGAAATTTAGTTTATTCTCCCCAACTTCATCAAATTATTTAGCATAATGAAAGACATGAAAGACCAAACCATCCAATTCTGCATTCCTCAAATCTTTTCAATCTTCTCTGCCTTCACCAGGGGATTTGCCTTCGCGATAGCATCCTGCCCTGCACTCTTGTAATCGAACGTGCACTCATGCTTCTCTGAGTACCGATGCTGCGAGCAAAATGTCTGCCCACATCGACACTTGAACCCAGTCAGTCCCACCCTCTTCCGGCAGAAGCTACACTTGTTGGCAGGTGCCCCCAGAACAGCTCCCTGAGTAGCACTTTCAGTTTGCTTATCCTTGCCTCCCTCTTTATCATCACTACCCAGAAGTGAGTTCTCTAAGCTCTGATCAATACACCCTTTATTTTTGTTTTTTTCTGTGATTCTACTAGCATCATCTATTGGGGTTTTGCTGTTGGATTGCTTCAAGAGATAGTCTTTGTAGCACTTTGAGCACAGATTGTTAGTGCTAGCGCTACCGAAAAACCCACAATTATTCGCACAAAGAACTGGAGCATTCTGGGGCTCAGAGTGGGTATTCTCTTCAAGCTTTCTCTTTTGAGATTCTTGCTCCATTATTAACCAAAAATAAATCAACCCCAAATTCCAAATTGTAATCCTAAATTAAGAAAATCTAAAAAATTATTCTGATACAAAACGAGTGAATCACCATACCATGCGGAATTGCTCTTAAAATATGCACGAATTTAACAGAGAGAGAAAACCCTTACCCTAAAATCGGAAAAAAAGCAGGAAATGAGGACGATCAAGGAGATTAGGAGGAAGTCGATGGTGGAAGATATGCAAATATCGAGAGGAGAGGTCTGATTTATGAAAGCGAAGGAACGGCATAGGAGGTGAGGGTTAATTAGGGGAGGAGGATGAGGGAGGAAGTCGCAAAGATGGAAGAAGACGGAGGATAACTTGGGAAATATGCCATTTTGGTAGAAAAATATTATAATTTTTTTTTATGAAATTTCCTGTATTAAGTAATAGCATTTCCCTCTTGCAATTGAGTCTCGTCATTCCTTTATAGAAGAGTGTTCGATTCGGATCTGACCCATACGAAATTTTTTTTTATAAAATATATATTTTTTATTTAAATCAGTAAATTAATAATAAAAAAATATTATAATTACAAAATAACATTTTTATATAACTAAGCTTTTAAAAGATTATTTATTTATA